TTTGGTTCCTTGTAGAACGTTGTCAAATAGCAGTTGCATCTTTGAAAGTCTGCTTGCAGGCTGTAACAGTGTGAGTTTTTGGGTTGGGATTTCAGACTGCAGAGGTTGTATAACATTTACTGGTCTTGAAAACTTACCTCAGTAGTTTTCAAACTGCTGAAGCAATGATGTGTTCCAGTTGGGGCACAGATCAAGTAGTAGCCCTGCTCTGTGTTAGGGAGCTGTGGTGGCAGTCTTGGGGGAGTGTGGGGAGAGGAAGGGAGAGGGTGAAGAGCAGGGCTTGGTAAAATAATGGAAACTGGCAGTTTCTTAAATAAGTCAACTGAAAAATAACTGTAAACCACTGATGGTTATTTTTTAAACAGACTTTTGCCTCAAACCCAACCCTGCTTGTTGCCTTTGTGCCTGAAAAATCACCTTTGGACAGAGCTGCTTGTTTCTGTAGAGTTTTAGTTGTATTGTACATTTCTAGTAGTTTCTGAAACTTGGTGGCTGGTAATAAAGATTTTTTCCTCTGTCAAACGTGGGGACATTATTTTAACTGCCAGAGGGTTTAAGGAGAACAGTTTTCACTGACTTCAGAACCACTTTTTCCTGCAATCTGCCCTACAGGTGAGAGGAATTTTGACTGAACAATTCTGCTGAGTTTTTCAGTGCTTGGTAGTGTGCCAAGGTGTGAGTGCTGATGTTTTGTGAAATACAAAGAGACTGGGACATGAAATGGGCAGGACACTTACTGCCTGTGGTTTCAGGAGAAAAATAAACTGGAAGTAAATTTAAAGGTCTTGGAAATGAAATAAATGTGCCAGAGTTTGCTTGTGAGGTGCTTGTGAAGCTTCTGTTTTTGTGGGGAGGGGGAAGGTCTTGTTTGCACTGTCTGCATTTCTGTAGCATTCAACAAAATATTGTCTGCTCTCTACAGTGAGAGTCTTGCAGTTTTATCCTGCACAGGTCTGGCAGCTTTTTGTTCTTGGTGCTGCTAGCCAGTGTGGTTTTTACTGACTTGCTGTGAAAAGAAAATCTTAGTTGGGGATTCTGTAGCAAATTTTACTAAAAATATGTAAGGATAGTAAGAAAAGAACCCTGGCTTTCACTAATAGCTTTGTTTCTACTAATTGTTTCATTCTTTGCTTGAAATAAGTTCCTAGATCAAAGAGTTCAAATTGATTTTTTGATATTTCTTTTGCCTTAAATGTCTATAACCTGAGCTGTGCCTCTTGTACAGATAGCTGCAGCATCTCCAGAGTTTTGGCCAGCAGCTCTGGTGTTATCTTAATGACTATGTGCTGAGGGGAAAGCCCTGGGCTTGGGAGCCTAATGACTCCCTACGCAGATGTGTTTTGTAGGGGGTGAACGTGTGAAGCAGAGGGTTTGGAAGAGTTTTCATCTTGAAGCTGTGTTGACTGAGGGTGTTTATCCTGGTTAAAATGTGACTGCTCTGCCTATGCTGCTGTGATCCTCAGAAGGTTAGGGCTCCTATTGTGCTGCTGGGTATGTCAACAGAAGGTGGGTTTTAAGGCTAGCTAATGTGTGGAGAGGTGGTCAGGAGGACACTAGGGAAGTTAACCCCTCAAATAGATGGGAGGAGGTGCTTGCTGATGAGCTTCAGGTTAAGCAAAAGCTGAAGTTTGGAGCTGCAGACCATGGGTGCTACTCGTGGAACATCTCAGGCAGGGGCTGCTGATGTTGGTGCAGGGTTGGTTGGCTGCGTCCTGGAGTTAACACCCTGCTGATGGGTGTGTGGTGGGGTCAACTCAAAACTCTGTACAACAAGTCTTAATAGTAAGACTTGCAGTGGTCAAAGTGTGCTGCAGGTTATTGCCAGCACCACAGGAGTGTAAAGATCTCCTTGAAAGGCACCAGGATCTGCAGTGAGAAGTGAGAGAACCTGCCCTGATTTTTAGACACTGTTCTCTACAGGTATTATTGACAATGGAACAGAAAGACAAGTGAGGCCAGCAGTGTAGTTTGCCTTGTGAAAAACAGATGAGTAAATGCTTAGGAGTTCTGTAGGTTCCATAATTCAACCTAAAATTCTTCAGCCAAGCATTTGAGTGAATTTGGAGATGAGTCTTGGTGAGAGATGTCCTTGTTCTTGGCCAGGCCTTTCATCAAAGGGATGCACATGCCTCAGGGCTCCCCTGCAGCCCTTCTTATTGAACTGGTGATCACATGTCTCCAAAGGATACAGCTTTTGGACAGGGCAGGGAGCACCAGCTAAAGTCTGTGGCAGAAGGCCTGTCACAAACAGGAGGTGCTCCCCTAGCTACAGGAACATTGCTATAGCTTTCCAGTGAGCAAGTTCTACATCTGCTTTTTGTTTGGTACCACAGGAGCTCATACTCCTCCCAACTGGGACTCTGTTCAGACTGGTGGCATCACTTGTTAAGTGAGTGTTTCTACCCTGGGTCTTATCCTGCTGTACGTAACCAGTTGTATACTCTCAAAATACGAGTGATAGCTCCAGTGCTGTGCAAATGCTTCAGGTTTGAGCCTTTGAGGTCACTAAGCTACCCAGTGATAGACACACACAGGGTTGAAGGCACTGTCACGACTTGGGTGCCTTGTTGGTGCACTGGTCTGGGTGTGATATGGCCAAATCTTGCTGTTGGTGCTTCACCTACCAACACTGTTCAATGAAATGGCTTTGGAACTGGTAGGAAAGGTGTTGGGTAAATGCTGAGCACAGGGAGGCTGTCTGTGTGAGAAGGTGAAAGGTGTTTTAAAGCTGTAGTATTTATAGATCCACTCTGTGCTTCCATATTTTCAGCTAAGCCTCTATATTGCAATAATTTTGTGCTGATATTAGGTACCTATAAATCCAGAGGCTACCCAGCAAGAGGGGAGGATGCAATCTGCCTTTCCAGAAGCCTGGGCAGAGGAGGTTTTGTGGCCTGCACAGCTCCTTCTGAATTGCTTTTTTCATGCTTGGTAGCTGAAAAACATGTCTGAATCCCAGCTGAAGCTTCAGTAGATGTTACCACATCAAAGAAGTTCTTTATCTTGTAGATGAAGGCTTAAATGTTTTATTGTGGGTTCTTACTGATATGTTTTTTTGCTTTTGTGAGCTGCTAGCCAGATTCTGCCCTTCAGTCACTTGATGTGGCCACTCTGCTATGGTTGAGACCTTGAAAGGCTTGTTAAAGAGAGTCACACTTCAACAAGTGATGTCCTCCTTAACCTTTTCCAGACTGTTGGTTTTTGGGGGTCTGTGCCTGTGTGGGGCAGACGTGCAGGAGAGGAGCTTGCTGAGGCACAGAGAAGCTTTCCACTGAGTCTTGTTAGGGCTGGAAGGATTCCTCTGATGGAGAGAACTCCAGCAGCTCTGTGTCCTGACTGCAGGTTTGAGGGAAAGGTAGATCTTAGACAAGATGCTACAGAAGCTGTTTAAAGAGGAATGGAATGCTGTGAGAAGGAGGACTAGATGCTGTATGCTGTTCTTGGTTCTTATTCTTTGGTTCTTGATTCTTTGTTCTTGGTTCACAGTCTTGAGGAATATCTTGATGTATGACAGGATCTTGTTTTATAGCTCATATCTTGGTTTACAGCTTTCAGATTTGGCTGTTCTTCTGGGGACTGGTGTCCCTATTTGCTAGGTCATTCTTGGTGCCATCTGCTTCAGACCTGGGCCTGGGGACCAGCCCTGTGGCTGTGGGGGCACACTGGCTGCTCTGGACTCACAGGGTTTGTGCTGAAGTGCAGCAGATGGGGAATTTGTTTGTGTCCCTTTTTTTGGTACTCCCAGAATTGTTCTGTTGCTATGCATAAGGTAACTCAGAGCTGCTGCAGCGTGGGAAAGGCTGTTTAGGACATGGAAAAAAAGAGAAGCTAAATTCACCACTCAGACTGACTTGGTGGGGCTGTGCAGAGAGTTGCAGTGTCATGGGCTAAGAGTTCAAAGGGCCTGGTTAGTGGGATGGAACCACTGATGCTTCAGATGGAAGATGGGCAAGGAGTGACTACAGGGAGTCCTGCTACCCCAAAGATACAGATGTTGAGTCATTTCCTTCTGCAGCTTAAATTTTATTCTTAAAATGAACATCTGGCAAACTGTGCCTGCTTAGCTCAGCTGTGTAGGTTGGGAAGATGCACAGTTAGTGTGCTCAGAGGAGTGAGGCTGTTTCTCCCTGTGTTTCAGACTGCACCAGGAGCCTTCTGGCTGCCAGCAGAGTGTCTTCCCCTGGGCTCCTCTCTGGGCAGGCTGGTGAAGGTGTGACAGCTTCTTTAGATGCTCTGATTGTGTTTCTGTCACAGGGAATTGCTGGCAGAGGCTTTTAGTTCTGCTACCACGTCTCAGCAAACTCAGTCTTGTCATTTCCTTCATGTAGAGAAGCAAAATCTGCAAGAATGCCTTTCTGTGAGGCTGGAGGGGAGGTTTGGCTGCTTGAGTGGCAATAATCCTAGACTTTGGTCAGTGAGCTTGAGCAGTAATACTCTTGGGATTTGGTAGATGTAAAGTATTGATGTTTTTAAGTGTGTGGGTGGAACTGTCACTGTTTCCTAGTTGAATTTATTTCTGATACACGGTGGGAAAGGTCTGTACAGCCAAGCCATGAAAACCTGGGAAGAGTTAGCCCTGGTGTGACCCATTGAGTCTCCCTGAACCCTGCAGCAAGGTGAAACACTGCTCCAACCCAAGGCAAAATCAGCCCTTTGGTTGTTTAGACATTGATGACTATTTTCTCTTGACTTTTATAGGCCTACCATGAGTCTTCTGCTCACCTGCTGAGGGGAGCTCTGTGTAAACACTGCAGTGAAGTTGGGAGGGGAACAGTCCTGGTGGCTTTGTGAGAATCAGCCTGCTGCAGACCTCTGTGTTGCTGCAGTAGAAATGCTGAGTTGCTGACACTACTCTTGGGCCACAGAAGCAAATTCTTGGTGCTGTGTGGGTTTCCTGGTGGGCTGTGGGGCAGTGATGGCTGAACTCTTGTGTCCAGCTGGCTTACAGAGAGGAGACTTCACACCCAGCCTGTTCTGATGCAGCCTGTCCTCGATTTTAGGGCAAAATTTCATCTCCTTCCCTCGCCACGAGGAAGAGCATCTCCAGAGGACTGTGAGCTGGCACCCTTGCCTCCTTATTCTTGGCCAGAACTGCAACGCCAAGTGCCAGTTACTCAACCTGCTGCTGGGTGAGAAGCTGCTGCCCACCACCAAAATCAGCCACGAGGAGAACTGCAAGAGGCGCCGCATCCGTTTCACCCACGGGACCCAAACCCGGGTCAGCCTGGCACTGCCTGAGCAGTATGAGCTGGTCCATATGATGGCAGCCCACAGAGGGCACTGGGACACCATACCCGAGGAGGACCTGGAGGTTGGTGGGGATGGTGAAGATCCTGCTCACCGGATAGCAGAGCTGGAGGTCATGCTGCCCTACTCACTGCTGAAGGTAACTAGGTGGCCGTGGCTCGTCGTGGTGAGCTTAAGATGGGACATTGCTCCCTAATAAAGTGAATGGTGTAAACACTCCAGCACAGGAATGTTTTAATTAGAGAGAAGCTGGAGGTGTGGTGTCAGGATTTTAACTGGACATCACTCTCTGTGCCTGGGTGCTTTTGTTTCAATCCTGACTCCTGGCAGTGGCATTCCTTCATAAAGTTTCCACCTGTCTCAGAAGCCAAGTTATGCAGAAGGCAGTTGGGGTTACATCTGAATTTTTATTCCAGTTTTTGAGGTTATTCAGAGTTAGCTCTGCTGTCTGGGAGTAGCTGGAAAGAAGCTGTTGTGTAAGGCTATGTCCTTTTTAACCTCTGTCCTTAAGAGCTTCTTGTCAGAAGAAAAGCTTCATTCCAGCACCTGATAAAATGATGTGACTTCACTTAAGAGGGTGGCTTTTGACATCTTTGTGGTGTCAGTGGAAATTGAAGGTGTTCAGAATAAGCAGGTGGGAGTCTGTTCTCAGTGCTGTTTCTAATGTTGGTAGTATCTTGCTTTGTAACTTTTATTTGCCCATAAAACATGTTCCTATCCTGTCTGTGTTGCAGTTGGTGCTTAGCAAACATCTTTAAAGGCAAGGTTTTTGTATTTCCTGACATTTTATAGCTTCCATAACCTTTCAGTGCCTTTCATATCTTATGTCAAGCCTTTGGTATTGCAGCATAATGCTTCTGGAACATTGTATTTGGCTGTAAAATACATAGAACAGGCATAAAAAGAGTATTTAGCTTTACATTTATTTTACGTGGTTATATTTTTATATGGGCCAGCCTAGATAGGCTGCAGTTTACAACCCTCTTTCAGATTTCACATGTGAGTGACAAAGATCTCTCTGTCTGGCTTTGGTTATATTTAGGGCACTTAGATGAAAACAGCTAGTCAGATTAATTTGAAAAGCATTGGGGAAATAAAAAGCTCTTCCAATAGACAGAGGGAGGGAGGGTGAATCACAGCTAGCTTCAGATGGATTCAAAGGACTCCTTACATGAATTCAAGGGGCTAAAGGAAGGGGGGGGGGAAAAAAATCATTTTTTTTAAGGCTGATCAGAGAGCATGGTACATTTTAGGAGGTAGTTGGGCTTCCTGTTGAGTTACAGGAGTCTGACCCCCTCTTGAGAGACCTGGGTTTTTCCACCCTTCTAGCTAATGTAAGTTCTCCAGCTCTTCTTGGTGTACACCAAGGCAATGAAGTTTTAGAAGCAAGTTGTGGACACTACTTCTGGAACTAGTGGAACATGTATCTGGAGCAATGATGGATAAGGGTTTTTTGCACACCATGTACAAAGTTGTACATCTTCAGAACTCCTCTGAAGGAAACTTCTGCCTTTTTTTTTAACTTGTGGGACAAAAGTAGGAGTCTGATAACAGTTGTGCACTTGATAACATGAGATTCAGTGCAGAGGTTTGCTGAGGAACCAAATAATTGGGAGGAGCTCAGCACCTTTTAGGCAGAGAGAGGAAAATCAATCTGAATTTTACTCCTCTTACCTACAATCCCTGAATGTTCATCTGTTTTTCACCCACCAGCAGAGTCCTTGTAAGTAGCTCTGTGTTTCATGATAACCTTACATTCTAGATGCTCAAACACCTTATTAGTGTTTGAAGAAACATTTGCAGGTCCTTGTTGTGGACTTGAACAGTGGGAAGAGATGAGAATTTCTGTTGAGGGCTCCTGTTGGAGGCCATGTTCATTTGCCATAGTGAGGACAGTTGCCCACCAGCAGATCTGCTGTTGGAGGAGCTGTCAGTGGGACCTGGGGAATGCTGGGCAGCTTTTCAGGCCTGCACATCCCTTCCTGAGAGCCTGACTCATGCTCTTTGGTGCAGATACTGGCTTGCTAAACCCAAACTCATTAGCCATGACTCCAGCAGAGACAGGCTAAGTTATTCATGAGTTAACAATATCCAACTATTAACTGAACTGCTTTTATGTGGAGATAAATGCAATACAAGTGTAGAATATAGAACTTTTTAATACCAAACTGCCCGTGGAGCACCCTGAAAGGTTTTTTCCCATTAGGCTGATAGCCAGGATGGGGCCATGTTTGCTTTTCTGTGCTCCTGAAGGATGATATAATCAAAACTTGTTTCACAGAAAAGGGGGTGAGGAGGAGGGAGCCAAAAATTTCATTTGCAGGGGTCAGCTGCTGTGAGAACACTGCATTCTGCTCATAGGTACGTGAACTTGGTTGTGTTTAAACCTAAAATATTAGGGGAGGAAAAACTTTGGCAAAGCTGCTGTATTCCTTGGGGATCACTGGGCACAGGAATGCATCTAGGTCATGGGGAATAATCCATTTAGCCAGACAGATTATTAGATTTATAGTGGGAGTAAACACTTGGCTGTTTCCCTAAATCTTATCGGCCGTGCCTGGAAGTCAATGTAGACTTCTCTGAAGGGTTGGTTTTCTCCTGAATGGTCCAGCTGAATGGGAGGAGGGTACCAGGGCTGAAAGCCCTTTCCTTTTCCCTCTTCATGCCTTCACCCTGCTCTGGGCTTCATGTGACTCTGAGTGTCAGGCTGAAAAGTTTCAGCCACGGCTTGTAGGGAAGGAAAAATTTTCAGCTGCTCTGACAAAAAGCTGGAGAAACAAATACAAGATGGTTCTATGAGCTCTAACAGAAGGGCTGAATTATTCTGGATATACTGTTGCATTTCTTCAGGTAGCATAGGAATGATTCAGGTCATTTGAATTAGTAGTTGCTACAAGGAGCAAAGAATGTGGTTAAGTACCTGTTAGGTGGTTCTTTTAATGTACATCCTGCTTAAAACTTGAAGAACGTGACTTTATCTTCTTCTGGAGAGGATTTTTTTTAATGTATTTAGTTGTGGCATTAGTACAGAAAGGTGAAAAATAAAAAAAATGAACTGGCAAGATTTCAGAAAAATTGGAGGGGAATGTGTGTGGAAACAAAACCAAAAGTTCTAAGTAGAACCTAGGGGTATATACATATCTCAGATTAATGGGCAGGCAATGAAATGAGCTCACATATGTAATAAATGCAGTAACTGTCAGACCTGAGTGATTCACAGGCTATTCTTGGAAGTCAGAGTATTCAAATTGGCTTAGAAAAAGACTGAGCTGGGCCTTCAATCATAATCTGCTCAGTAGGAGTTTGGATAAAAATCTGACTAAATTGGGTTAGCTTCTCAGCACCTCAGTTAACTAAGCAAACAGTGATTACACTGCCCGCAGCCTGGCAAAATAGGACAAGGTCCTCTTGGGATGGAGCAAATGAATGTTCTTTTAACTGGTTTGGAAATGAGGCACTCTGTTGACTCAGGGAAATGGCCCATTTCAGTGGTCCCTGAATGCGTTCAGTGAGGCTCCCGTTGTAGGTCAAGACCTACTTCATCCTGGATTTCAATTTTGGGGATGCAGTGGTCATCCTGGCACTGGGAGTTTTGAATCTGCAGGTGAGTATGTGGTGTCTGCATCATTCTTTCACCTCTCTCTTTTGTGTTGCTGTTGGTGGCACCTCTGCATCATGTTTTAAGTGGAGGAGCTGTAGCTCTGATGTTTGAGTACCTGGCGTTCAGATTGCTGGGTGGGAGGCTTTGATATTTTAAAAAGGGCCTTTTAGTGAAGAAAAAATAGGAATGAAACTACCTGACAGCTGTTGCAGGCTTACAGCTCTGTCAGAAGTGATCCAGTGTGTTTACAGCAGTGTGACCTTGTGAGAACCAGCTTAAACATTTTAGGAATCCAGCCTGAGTCATAGGGGTTCCCCACAGAGGAAGACTCAATTCCTAATAGCGTGGGGCTGCAGAGATGGTGCTTCAACTTCTGTAGGACATTTAAAAACAAGAGGTGGGTAAGAAATGTTGCTAATCCTCTTTGGAAAAGCCTGAGAGGCCTCTATGGCAACAGAAGGACCAGTTGCTCACGCTGTGCTTGGTTGTCTGTGTTGGTTTTCTCCCTGTCTCCTAGAGACAGCACTGGCTTCCTCCTTTGTTTACAGTCACTGCTGTGAGTCATCTGTCCTGGTGAACGTTGCAGCACTGCACATCCCATGCTGCTCAGCCTCCTGGCCTTCAGGCAGGTCTGAGCCCAGGGCCCTGGCACTGAGGACTTCCTCTTAGCTCCAAGAGCAGTCAGACATGGTCCAGCCTTTCATTTTTCTCCATGGGGAAAAATGATGGAAGAATTCTTATCACCTCCCTGTTAGGGGTTGGGAAGATGGAACTTAAATTTTTTTCAGTTAAAAGCCTTTAACATTTTCTTGCCTTATTTTAGTAGAGTGAGACATGCAATTCCAACCCTGTTCTTGCATATTCAAAGGTGAGCCTCATCTCCTCCCTTGAAAGAGAAGGAAGCAGGTTTCAGAACTGGCCTTTTTTTCAGCAGGGTTAGTAAGAAGTGCTGGCAGCAGGAGCATATGAGTGAAGTGCTGAAACTATGCAGTCAGAAAATAAGTAAATATTTAACCTCCTTAGATCTTGGTTGGTTTTGAAGAAAATCAAAAGGAAGCTTGTCACAACCCTCTGTTCCTCCTCATCTGCCCTTTGGCTGTGAACTCCCTGGATTCAGTCCTTGTGCTTTGTCTTGGCAGTAGTGACTAGTGTCCTGCTTTCCACTGGTGGGAGCTGTGCTGACAACTGGTAATGGGGCTGTCTCCTCAGATTGCTGGAGAGGGCTGAGAATCAACCTTGCAGGTGGGCTTTAGACTGAAGCACAGTGCTGTGAGACTCCATGACTCTGAAAGGCTTTGAATGTTTCTGATTTCACACTTTGTGAACCAATTAGTTTTGCAGGTATCAGTTTTTTTAAAGGATTTGCACCAACCTGTTCTTTTTTTTTTCCCCACTCCCTCACTTGCTAGGAAGTAGATGTTGTGGTAGCACCGTGTCGTGGGTTCCAATCTGCTGAGGCCACCTTGGGAGAGTATGTGAACCAGGTCTTGCCTGTTGTCATCTTTGCCATCAGCGAGGCTGAACTCTCCTCATCAGACGAGAACGAACTGCGTGAAATCAAAGAGAAATTCTCTTTACCCATTTTCTTCTTCAAAGTGCCAGAGCTGGGGGCTGACCTGATCTCTCCCTTAAAAACTGATAACGAAAAGTCTTCCCTCTACTGCCAGCTGATGGACTTGGAGTACCTGAGCACCAACCACTGCAGCTGTGGGGCACCTGATCCTGAGGCTGATGCCCAGAGCATGTTGGTGGAGCAGTTGGAGAAGCTCCGTCTCCTGAGCACTTTTTCCAGGCAGGTGCTTCAGAAGCACCTGGTGGAAGCAGCCACCAGTTTGAACGAGGTGCACTGTCGCTGCCTCAACATCTTCATCAACCAGGCTTTTGACATGCAGAGGGACCTGCAGATCACCCCCAAGAGGCTGGAGTACACCCGCAAGAAGGAGAACGAGCTCTACGAGTCTCTGATGAACATTGCCAACCGCAAGCAGGAGGAGATGAAGGACATGATCGTGGAGACTCTCAGCAATATGAAAGAGGAGCTCCTGGAGGATGCTGCTAATATGGAATTCAAAGGTAACTGCTGGCAGGAGAGCAACGGGAAGGCTGAAATTGGGGGTGTGAAGGGAGAGTGGCAGGGTAATATTTGGCATCTAAGGGCTAGTTGGGTGGCAGCCTAGACAAGTGACTTCAGAGCTCAGGCATAAAGGATTTTTCTGCAGTAGCTCCTGAATAAAAAGCACTGTCTTTAAATGAGAGGCCTGAACATGTTAAAGGCTTGGTTTCCTATAAATCAGACTTTCCCCCCCGCTCCCCTGAGCTTACTGCACAGTTCTGGGTTAGGATATTTTAATTCTCTGCTTTAATTCCATGTTCTGCTGAAGAAAAGAGCTCTTCCAACTCTGCCTCAGTGGATGTGTTGAGACTTGGGAACTAATCTGTCATAAGAAAAAAAAAAAAACCTGTTTGAGTTTTAGCAGTGAAGGCTGGATTTGTACTTTCTGGTTGTTTTCTTTGAGAGGTTTAAGTGCTCTTTGAGAGGTTTAAGACTTTTGGGTGTAGAACTTTCTAAAATGAAATCTCCTGGGTATGTAGGGTTTTCCTTCAAAACAAAAAAACCAGCCCAGGATATTGTGCTCCTGAGGCCTGTGCTTGGAATTTAGTGGGTGCTTTTGGGAAATGGAGTGAGAATTCTCACTACATCTTCTGGTACCAAAACTTCAGGAACCCACAAGCTGGAAGCACACAGAATGATGAGTAAACTGTGGAGGGTGAGAGGCTATCCAGATTTTGTCTGCAGGGATATGTGGTCTGTCATAAACAAAGGGAAGATGTGTAGGTTGATACTCCACAGCTCTTTTCTCCTCTGCTTGCTAAGCAAAGGTTTACTGTAACAGTCCTTTCTGTTCCAAGGAAATCCAATTCACTGGGCTGGTGGGGAAAGATTTCTCTGATTAAAATAAAATCTGGAACAACTCTAGGCTATTTGTTTAGAAGAAACTTGGGGCTGTGAATTGAATGCTCTGCTGAGGCAAAACACAGGATCCTTTTGTCTTGGCTTCCCAGTTTCAAACTGGAGTGCAATACCTGAGATGAAGAGCTAAAAATGGACTGTGTTTAATCCTGCAGGTTGGGATCTGGATCTTTCTGGGGCTGCAGGTGGGAAATGGATCTTTCCTGTTTCTGTGCAGCCAGATCTTCCCTGTTTCTTGAAAAATTGGCTTTGTAGTGCCCATACCAAGTGTAGTTCTCAAAGAGCTTGTTTTAATTGCAACATAACCTATTTGCATGCTGCAGAAAACCCCAACACACACACACTGACAGTGTAGCAAGTGTGTTAATTCTCCCTAGCTAGGGCTGCTACTGCTCCATTAGCTGGCAGGGTAATAATTCCTGTGTTCTGTCTGTCACACTTTTACTTTGTGCTGCCCCTAAACACTCTTGCACATGCAGAACCCTGAACTCGGGTACTACAGTGCCCCAAATCTGTAAAAGATTTGAAGTATCAGTATTTGAAGCAAGAGCCCACAGGAAGGAAGGTGTTATTTGGAGGAGCTAATGCCATCTGTCGATCACTGGATTTGTTTTAAGTGGGCTGGACTGTTGTTGGCCAAAATCCAGAGACCTTCAGCTCCTGGTAGTAGTGTAAGTGTTGCTCAGAGTAGTTGCAGTGTTTAAAAACACCAAGTGGTAACCCCCTTTTCAAGATATTAAGACAAATTTCATGTAACTGGCACGGCTGTTGCATCACTTTCAGCACAACATTCAACATCCAGCCACGCTCCTGGGCTGCAGTGTGGCCTGGAGGGATTTCCTCATCTGTACTTGGTTAGATAGACAGCTTGGTGTTTCTGCCCTTTCATTTTTGAGCTGATTGTTGACTTGTCATCACTGCACCACTGTAGTAGCTATAGAATATTTGTATAGAGCCTTATCAAGGGTTGAGCTGAGTGTCCTGGGAATTCAAACACCAGTGAATGGAATAAAGCATGAGAATATTCCCCACCATGGTCAGATGTGATTTGTAGCTTGCCTGAAGCTGGAGTAACAAGGTGTTCCTGCACCTCCTCTGCTGCATCAGTACTTTCTGCCACACAGTGCCAAAAGGCTCAAGATCTGTAGGACTGGGCTTGGGGCCTGCTGTAAAACTGGCAGTGTAGCATGAGACATGCAGAGGGGCAAACGTTTGGTGCTTTGCAATACTCAGTGTGTGTGTTTTTCTGTTCCTCATGAGGGTTCTTGTATGACTTAGAACAACTGTTGGCTTCAGTTTACACCACCTGGTAAGGAACCTCTGAAGGAGCAAAAACTTTTGGGGCAGAAGCTGGTAAAGCAGCTCTCAGTAGCTGTTGTTCCAACCACTGTGTTGAATTCAAAAGAGGCCTCTGCTTTTTTTTTTGTGCAGATATCATCATTCCTGAGAATGGGGAACCCGTTAGTTCCAAGGACATAAAATGCTGCATTAAGCAAATTCAGGAACTGATTATTTCTCGACTGAACCAAGCAGTTGCCAACAAGCTCATTAGCTCAGTGGACTATCTGAGAGAGAGTTTTGTAGGGACTCTGGAGAGATGTCTCAAGAGCCTGGAGGAGTCTTGGGAGGTTTCAGTGCATCCTGCAAGGAGTTTGGAGAAGTCAAAGGATGTTTCTGTACACATCACAAGCAATTATCTCAAACAGGTATGGTGGCTTGAATGGCTGGCTGGAGTATTCTTAATTGTCTTTATCCTGATCCAAGGAGGATGGGTGGCAGGAGGGTGAGAGATGCTCAGTGGAATCAGAGGAACATAGATTTGCAGCATGTGTGGGTCTGGTGTCATTAAGGGAGGTCCTAAAAGTGGGGAACACTCTCTTAAAGGCCTGTAGTTACATTTCCTAAATCTGTATAATCAGTTCACAGCCTAGAAACACCTATGAGCTTAATACAACAAATGAATGGAACCAAGCAGATCATGGAGTATCCCATGTAGTGTCTGGTTTTTCATTTTCAGAGGGTCTAGCAGGTGTTACAGTGACTCTGGCTTGCAAAGTTCCCATACTTTCATCTTTTCCCTTGCTTTCCAGATACTAAATGCAGCCTATCATGTTGAAGTCACTTTCCACTCTGGCTCAACAGTAACCAGGATGCTGTGGGAGCAGATCAAACAGGTATGATCATCTTGACCATTTATTTCTAGTACATGTCACTGTGCAGCAGAATAGTTTTTGAGCAAACAGTGTGAATACTCCCAGCACCTCCCTGAATTTCAACTCTGTGTGAGCAGTGAGAAGCTGCTGCTTCCCCACTCAAACTAAGGCTCTGTGTGTAGTTTATTTCCAGGGGTGCTAATATTTACTTTAAAGAAAATACCTCTTTAGTCTTTTTCTTTCTGTTCTGAAATAGCAAAGGAATGATGATGAACGTTTTGAAACTTTTGCTCTTTGTTTTGGGTAGCTGGTTGTTTATTTGGGTTTGGAGGTTTCTTGTGGGCTGGTTGGTTTGTTTTGCAGTGTCTTTATTCAGGTCAATTCACTCCTCTCCCTCCAGAGCAGACCACATTTCCTCAGGTCTTTGTTTTAAATTCTTGTCTGTTATATCATCATCCTTCTGAAGTTGCTCGTTGATCACCTTTACTGCCTTCCCCATCTTGAGATTCTGTGTATGGATAGGGGAGAGGAATCTGAGTTTTTCCTAAGTGCAGACTAAGCAGTGACAAACCCTCAGCATCCTCCTTTGACCTGGAGAAGGCTGCAGTCAGGGTGTACACAGCAGCTGGATTTCTGTGGCTTCTAATGAAGGGTGGAGCAGGGCATCTTCTTCACCCAGCAATTTAAGGCAAGTGGTGCATACTGACACCTCAAATTTCCCCAGCCTGACAGTGTGTCCATCCAGCAAAAAGCTGCTTTGCTGTAGCTTTCACCAGTTTGGGAGCTCTTGTAAGGTGCTTATTTAACCCCATTCCCTGTGACTGTGTGTTATTACAAGCCTAAGCAACCTGAATAAATTGACCCTTAGCATTCTTTTTTCCTGTTAGTGCCTTAATTCTGTCTCCTGCTCTCCCAGATAATCCAGCGGATCACGTGGGTCAGCCCTCCTGCCATCACCAGTGACTGGAAGAGGAAGGTTGCCCAGGATGCCATCGAGAGCCTCAGTGCCTCCAAGCTGGCCAAGAGCATCTGCAGCCAGTTCCGCACCAGGCTCAACAGCTCCCACGAGGCTTTTGCAGCTTCCCTGCGACAGGTGAGCCCGTGGGGCTGTTCAGGAGGAGTTCTTTTTGTACGTTGGCATTTACAGAAAGAGGAATTTTAATGGCAGAGACCAGCTAAAAGTGCAGCTCGTGCTGTTAATGCTGCCATGGGGTAGGTGCAGGCAGCGCTGATGTGCCCTGATAGATGATCCTATTTTTACACTAGGTGTGCTTTAAGTAGGATCTCCATTCAGACCCTCAACCTCATCACAGCAGGGCTTCAAACCAGGCAGGACTACAGTGTGTGTCATATCTTTTATAGTTGGAAGATGGCCACTCTGGCAGGCTGGAGAAGACAGAAGACCTGTGGCTGAAGGTGCGGAAGGATCACGCTCCTCGGCTGGCACGACTCTCCCTGGAGAGCAGATCCCTCCAGGATGTGCTGTTGCATGGTGAGTGCTCTGCTTCATCTTCTCAGTATTATGTTCTGCTCCCTCCTCCTGAAGCAGCCAGTGGGTGGAAAGGAGTAGGAGGGCTGTTTTGCTTTTCACTCAGCTACTTCAGCGAGCCTCCCGTTTTACACATGAACACCTTGAACTGTGCAGCTGCTGGCCCAGGACAAGCTCTGGGCTGTCAGCCTGATGGTGTGCAGGAGGAGATGAAGTAACATCTGCCTAAATGGATGTTGTGCCTTACAGGCAAACCAAAGCTGGGCCGGGAGCTGGGCCGAGGACAGTATGGTGTGGTCTATCTGTGTGACAGCTGGGGAGGCCACTTCCCCTGTGCACTGAAATCAGTTGTTCCTCCAGATGAGAAGCACTGGAATGACCTTGCACTTGAGTTTCACTACATGAGGTGTGTATCATGAGTGCTTTTTCTTATCTCCACGTGGATCTCCTTAACCTCACTGCTGCAAACAAAGGCTGTTGGTGTAGACAGAACCTTGCTTGCTACAGTTCCCCTCTGCAGTCAATGACCTCATGAAGTGCTGAGCTGCTCTTTGTAAGGCAAGACAGGGTGCCATTGGCACTGCAAAAATGGAACAGGCAACACACTCCTGCCTGCCTGAAGGTGATTCTCTGGTGTGTACACTGTTCAGATGCTTGCTATTTTGCAGAGCAAATGAGAATTAAGAGTATGATAGCAAACAGTACTTGTCCACTGATTCTTTTTGGCTGTTGAATCATCCCTCCTCTCCCAGTCTTCCTCCTTTCTGAATTCACAGAAGAAAATGATGGGTCTACACTGCAGAAAGCTGAGCTTGTCTTCAGCAAACAGCTGCAGGCAGGTGCTGCAGTACAGACAGCTGAAATAACACAGGAGTTCTTCAGGACTAGAATCTTTAACAGGCTTTCTTGAGTTTAACTGGCTCAGGCAGCTGTGTATTGCTACAGTCCTCAGGCCTGTGGGGAGCTGAGAATTCTTACTGCACACTGTGTGGTACTGCTGTATCTTACTGCTGCTAGTGGGCATTTTTCCTTTGAGGTGAGGCTTGGCCTGGGGTGGAAGGAGGGCTATAAAAGTGACCAGATCTGTGCTGTGCTTCCTCTAGGTCTCTGCAGACACACGAGAGGCTCGTACATCTGCATGGCTCTGTGATAGATTATGGCTATGGAGGGGGCTCCAGCATTGCAGTCTTGCTGATAATGGAACGGTTGCACAGAGACCTCTACACAGGGCTAAAGGTACCAACAGTCTGTCTGTGTATGTGTATAGACTTTATATATAAAAATTTTTCAAAAATCCACACCTAAATATCTGTTAATCCACGAAACGAAGCTAGAATTGCTTATTTTTTTAGTGGTTTGGGCAAAGAACAGTAAGCAAAAGTAACTTTCACTTGAGGAATGAAATCTCTTGTGTGTTTATTCTTCAGGCTGGGCTAGAATTGGAAACACGACTGCAGATTGCCCTGGATGTGGTTGAAGGAATCCGTTACCTTCACAGCCAGGGACTTGTGCACCGGGATATCAAACTTAAAAATGTCTTGGTGAGGAAAATTTCTGTGTCTGGCTAATCCTGAAGTTTTATGAGGCCCTTCTAGTGGGAGGGAGAAGCATAATACGAGTGAAGTAATAGCTTTCTCCACACAGGATCTTTTAATCTGTGGAATTTTAACCACAGCTAACCTGGCAATGAGATTTCCCTTGCTCATTTTCAGGCTCAAAGCCTGGGGGAAAGGGAGCAGTAGAGTGACTTCTCTTGAAGGCAGAGAGCTTGAGCTACAAGTAGGACTTCCAGTTCCTGGTTCTATTAAATCCCAGCCACACCTTCTGTGTAACAGACAAGTGAAGGCATGTCTTGTTACTGAGCTTAACTAGGCAAAAGTCTGAGAGCAGCTAGATAATCAGAGAAGCTTACTTAAGAACAATGCCCAACTCTTCAAACATAAATGTAGTGGAAAAACCTTAATCTTAAAAAGCAACATGAAAACTGAGGAGCATGGTTATCAGCTGCCTCTGTATGAATTCTTCTACAGCTTGACAAAAAGAATCGAGCCAAAATCACTGACTTGGGGTTCTGCAAACCAGAAGCCATGATGTCTGGCAGTATTGTTGGCACACCCATTCATATGGCTCCTGAGCTGTTCACAGGTATGCTGGTTGATTGAATCCACTGGGGTCCTGCTCTGGCTTCAGTTTTGAAGGCTGTTACTTTGAATTAATAGCTCTGCTTGCTTACGAGGGGAAGAATAATTTAAAACCCCAAACAGCACAAAACAAAGCCCAAAACTAGAAGGCTCCTTGTTTACATTGCATGGTATGTAATTTTTTTGCTGTATTTAAGTGTCAGTCTCAAGTGTTTGCTTACCTGAAAGAACTGTAGGATTCATAAGCTTTGAAGTGAGGAATACTCTTGCAATTGGAAAGATAAACCATTAGTTATTGGCAAGCTGGAAACATTTGGCTTTCCTAGGCAAATACTTCAGAAAGGATCCCCTGTAAGGAATTTCCAAGCTGTTACAAACATGTGGAGTGTGTTTGAGTTGCTGTTGGAGCTTTTTTTTCCTGAGCAAGCATCTTACAGTAGCCCTGAGTGGTTTGTACTGCTCTTAAAGGCATCCTTCTGTTCTGTCTGAGATGCTGTCCCTGCTGTGACAAGATTGCAGTCAAACTGAAGCTGTCCTATTGGTGTTTAAGCTAAAAAATATTATTTAGGTGGTTCTTACTACCAGTGAAATACTCATGACTAACAGGCTAGACCTTGACCTTGGAGGTGAGCATTGCCTTAGCTCTTACACACTCAACATGCTCAATCTTTTCTTATTCACTAGGTGAACCTGCTATAGATGAGTAAATGCCCAAGCAGAACTGCTAGTCTTATAAATATTGGTGTTTAAGTCTGAAATGCACCTGAGCAGCTGTACCTGCAGTGATCTGAGCCTCAGCTTGGGAACTGCTGGTACAGGTTAAGTGTATAAATGCTCTGAGAACTGGGAAGTCTTCTCTCTTATCCCTTCACGTGTGGCAATGACTCCTGGTGTGTTACAAGGCTTGCCTCCTGGCAGGGAAGTTGTGCTTAAAAGGAGGAAGTGGAACACTGAAATTACTTCTTGGAGAGCTCAGTTTGCAGTCCTGAAGATGGTGTTTGCCCTGCTGATCAGATGTGTTTTTCTCACAGGGAAATATGATAACTCAGTGGATGTTTATGCGTTTGGGATTCTGTTCTGGTACATTTGCTCAGGACACGTGAAGTTACCAGAGGCTTTTGAGAGATGTGCAAGCAAAGATCACCTTTGGAACAATGTCAGAAGAGGTATAAATGGCTTATATTTGAACTCTGTTGGTTGATACTTAATGCTTGAGTAAAATTTAAGATGAGGAAATCCATTTTTATCCTCTTGTCATTTTACTTTGCAGTCACAAGTCGTATTGCTTCATTGACAGTCTAAAGAGTAATACTTTTTCCAGTTAAAAAAAGCCTAAAATTAGCAGGGATTAAAAAAAAAGCCTTAACCACCTCTCTGCCATAGTGTCACAGGAGCTGTGCTGACACACTGCTTAGACTTGGCAAAGTATTACAACAGTTATGATGTAAACCAGACCCCAGGACCAGCCAGGCTTGATCCCCTGAAGAATGTTTAATCTCTTGCTGTTTCTGGAGGCCGTGGAGATCTGTCCCCTCCAATGCTCAACATGCAGCATGCTGAGGAAGCTGGATTTTGAGTCAAACACACAGGGATAGTTGTTTCCCAAAATACAAACTTTGATGCTTGTGGAGGTTTTGTGTAGTGGTGTTTTCTAGCAGTTTAATCCTTTGTGCTGTGTCATGGTATTGGAAGGTTTACTACTCTGTGGCCTTAGTTCCTGCCTGTGTAATCTCTCTCCTTCTCATGTGAAAAAGATTAACTCAGATGAGTGACTCTTGTATTTGGTCAGAAGGCTGCACTTGCTGCTTGTTCTCATGTTGAACTTGCTCCCAAAGGCATCACTGTGAGCAGGTGGGGTGGTGGGAATTGTGTTCTTCTAGGGGAAGCTGTTCATTTTGCTCCCAAATAACTGCAAAGAGGAGGCTCTAAGTGTTGGAAGTGTGTATGACCTCCTGAGTGGCTTCAGCAACGCTCCCAAAGAAGTTTCCTCAGCAGCACTGCTGAAATGTCAGCTCTGATGGAGAACGTTAGACCCCAGACAGTCCACGCTGGTCCCTTCAGCCTGCCCCAAAGCAACGAGCTGCAGCCAGAGCTGCTCTCAGGCTGTGGGGGTGTTCTGCTGGTAACAGGATCCCTCTCTCCTCCTTGCAGGAGTTCGTCCGGAGCGCCTGCCGGTGTTCGATGAGGAGTGCTGGCAGCTGATGGAAGCCTGCTGGGATGGGGACTCCTCCCAGCGCCCTCTCCTGGGCATCGTTCAGCCCATGCTGCAGGGGATCATGGACAGGCTCTGCAAGTCCAGCTCTGAGCACCCACACAAAGGCTTGGAGGACTCCACCTGAAAAAGAAGCACAGAAAGAATTTAAGTGTGGGCATATTCTGAAACCCCCCAACTCTGCCGTTGGCATCTTCAGAGGTAGCTCTTTGTGGCTGACATGAGTGGGACAGGTAATAGGAACCAGAAGATTGCTCGTGGAGGTGAGACCTTGGGGATGTTCCACCTTGACTAGCAGCCAGAGCAATCTCCCCTGGTGCACCCCATTGATGCTAGTTACCCACTGCAGCTTTTATTCTGGAGTTGTGCAAGTAAGATAGGAAAAATCCCCACCCTTGGACTCAAAGGGATTTTTGCCAATCCCACACAAACGCCAATGGAAGAAAAGCATCTTGTGTGTTTCAGGTAGAGTCTGTGTTGCCAGGACTTGATCACGACAGTCTTTACTCAGTAAAAACCTCTTCCCACTAACTGATGGCCCTGGGTGGCCTCCAATCCACACACAACTGTCCCAATCCCTTATTGACTGGCACCAGTTCCAGCGTGGTGAGAGGAGGAGGAGGAGGAAGGCTCTGGGCTAGACAGTGTCCAGAAGCTGAGAGCATCTGTCTGTAGGAGCTTCTTGCAGCACTCAAAATGTTTACATTGACAGGAGCAAAGCTTCCATGTTTTACCTGAGGGGGTTGATTTGCTGTTCCACTGCAGTGCAGATACCCCAAGTTATAAGCTATTTTTCTCTGATGTATCCTTCACCTCTTCCTTCTGTAAACAAGCTCTTTTTCTGGCCATTTCTGCTTCATAATTATTTGAATGTCTGAAGAAACCTGACCTTTCTTTTACAGTCTTCTGGTAAAATGGAAGACTGCTCAGATAACATATTGTAATAGTGAAACAAAGTCATTACAACTAATGACTGTCCACAGGGAAAATCCCAATTCATTTTAATTAAATTTGGGGTCTGAATTAGTTGTAAAGGCAATGACAGTTTTAAAATTGTGCTAACTATGACAGATTGTTTTAAAAAAAAAACAAAACAAGGTTTCTTCAGCTTTTTTTAAAGTCACATGCTTGGTGAGAGCATACTCGAGGGAAAACAGGTCATTCATCCTTCTTCAGGAGCTGTGTTGTGGTTGTGTCTGTTCCTCTGATCCTTTCACTCTGGGGTCTCTGATTTGGCTGTTCTGGAAAAAATATAAAAAGTGGGTGGGGAGGGGGAATCCTTGGCAGGGAAGGTGTGAGCTGGGGTGGTCCTGCTGCCCTTCCCCAGAGGGCAGCTGCTGAAAAATAACACCCTTGCCCCTCACCTCTTGCATTTCTAGGGCAAGGTGGGTTGATCTTCATGTAAGATACTTACCAGGTGGAGGCTGAAACTGAACATGCACCGTGTTTACTACCTGAGGAGTTCTCCCTGGGTTGGCTGTTGGTCCTGGCTGCAGAGGTTGGGCAGGCAGTGGCTTTGTTTCCCAGGCACATGGAATTACTGCACCTTCTTGCTGGGATTTATTGGCAAAATTACAACTGATAGTCTGCCTCTTAAACAGCTTGAACAAAGGAAAGGGATACATAACCCTCCAGTATTAAGCTTAGTTTAAATCTTCCTTTCTTAGTGCAATAAACAGGATTAATATGCTTTTTTATATATTAAAAAAACCCTTTTTTTACTGACCTTCACGTGCAGGCGTGTTCTTGGTCTGAGATGGCATTAACAGAGTTGGTTCTGTACAGACCCAGCCCTGCCAGCTGCTCCAGCTGCCAGTGCAGCCCCCCAGAACCACCCAGGCAGAGCAAACAACCTCTCCAAAGCTGCCTTGCTGCACACTCCTGCACCAGCCACCCTCCCAGTCAGCTCCCTGCTGCTGTTTGGGGTGCTTGTCACCTAATTAAAACCAGGAGAGTGGAGGTCAGTCTCTGGCAATTAATAGAGGGTAGCTGCTGTAAATAATAAATGAATAAAATTGACAACTCTATATGCAATTCCAGAAATGTCTTGTATAGCTTTTCCTCTGTAGCCACCTCCAGACCCTCACCTGATGCCTTTTTACTGCTGCCTATAGCTGCTTGGTCTCATTTCCATTTGCTTTGTCTCTTGGCCTGTGCAGTGTTGTAGATCTGCAGCTTTTCCCCAACTCTGTACAGCTGCTCCTGTATTCTTCTTTCCCTTGGGTCTGCCTGACTGAGCTTGTTCTGAGAGATTTCATACCCCCCCCTTTCTTCAAAACTAGTGTTCTCCCCCTTAAAGCAAGGAAAACAAGGTCATTAATTACTTTATTAAGATTCCATGGACTGTAAATGGCAATAGGTACCAAACCCAACACCTCTGGGCAGGGGCTCTGCTCCCAGACCAGGCTGGGGATCTGCTGAAGGTGTTTGTTACACTATGTTTTAATGTTATGCTGTAAAAGGGTACTTGTAACTTGTGTGTTGTACAACCTACCCGGTGTAACCAGGTAGTGGACTGGCTTCTGCTGGGTGCAGATGCTGTTCCAGTGATGTGAGTGCTCTCCCTTGAAACCAGCTGAAGCTCCTGGCTGTGAACAGCGAGGACCAAACCTCCCCTCTCCCCCTTCCTAGAAGCCTAAAGTGGAGATCAGACCTAAAATCAGCCTGGAGGAGCTTTGTTTACCATGGTCACTGCTGTGAGGGGTACATTAAAGAGTCCTGGGGACATTGCAAGGTTCAAGTACAGCCTGAGAAACGCCAGGAACTGTCTCTGTGCTCCCCAGCTCAGTTTTAAGCCTTTTCTTCACACTACACGTACCAGGATGAGCTGGGGGCAGGTGGGGTGAGGAGGGGGCTGGGGGGGCACAGCCCTGCTGCTCCTCCCACCCTTCCTGGGTGCCCTGAAGCACCCAACACTTTAATTCAGAGGATTATGACTTACACTAAATGCCTTGTCCTGGGAGCTGGGAGGGGC